TACTTTTTTTTTTTACCAAATTACCTACGGACCGGCACCGGTCCTTGCACCGGGGGTTGAGGACCCCTGTTCTACGACACTGTATGGAATGTATTTTAACAATGAAAAAATGAACAGTCAAATATTGAAGTACTACGTCCAGTCTGAGGTGTTCTGGTTTAGAGTATTTCAAACTAAACAAAGAATTCATTGTTGATGAGGGAAATATAAGTCGGAATCGAACCCCCAGCGACATCCGTCGTACTACAGAGACCCAGGATGAGAAAGTATGGTCTGAGGCCAGAGTGGGACCAGTCCAGCAGGACGGACATGGAACCATTTCCTGGTACTATTTTAGGGTCCGCCATCTGTCTGTGAGGAGGCAGGAGAAGAAGACAAATTGGACGGTTGTTGAATGGACGGATGTTCAGGAGGTCGGATCGATGGAGCGAAGCCTGAGGAGGAGGAGGAGGACGACGACCAATCAGAGTCAAGACTCTGTTTGTTTTTATGTCCAGGCCTTCGGAAACAACGAGGGTTCGTTAGTGGTACTGATGGACGGACCGACGGGATCAGCTCCGCCCGTCTCCACGCGGTGTCGCGGTGACGACCTTGAGAGTTGAATTATTCTCTGAAGGTTTGGAAATGAGAAAAAAGCGTGCGAGCGTTTCCTGGGTGACTCTGGGAAGTGATGCCAGCGTGTGAGAAATCTGCCCGACGACAGCGTGTACCAGACTGTACCACTGTGTGAACTGACAAAAGGAGAAACTGTGAAGAAAACAACATCACTGCGGTCGTTACTGCGAATGTGGAAGTAGGTCACTTCAAAGTCCTACTGGAGAACAGTACCGTCCTGTCGGACACCAGGTACTATGTGGGTACCAGGTGACCGTCTGGTCTTCATCACTGATGATGGTGACAAATGAACCGATCGTTTTATAGTCTCCTCCATGTGACCTTTTATCGACAAAATGTTTCTATTCTAGTCTGAAAACAACAACAACAACAACAATTAAAAAAATCAGAAGATGATTTTTTATAAGACGTTTGGCCTTAAACCAAAAAAAATTAAAAAAATCAGAAGATGATAAATGATATATTTTCTACTGAATAAGATGTATTTATGAATTTACCGACAATCAGACTATTTTTTTTTTAATTTTAAACAAAGTACCGTCTTCAGTGTGTATGATTTTGAGCAGCTGTGCAGAGCGGAGCAGAGAAAGTCACTAAATGTCAGGAAATGTCACAAAGGTCATTTCCTCAGATGTTTGACTCCGACAGTCTGGACGTTTGGGTCAGAGCTGAGCTAAATATTAACAGCAATGGGTTTGTTTTTTCAGTTTTCTGAAGCAGAACTTTCTTCACTGTGTGTTGTGACTCTAGAATCCAGGAAACGAAATGATCATTAAATCACGTTACGATGTTTTATATTTAATTGGTTTATAATAGAATATGAAATATATATATATATATATAGTTTTTAACTCACACTTCATTTGGTGAAACCCAGGCATCAGGTTTTCATCATCGGAGGAAAAACCAATAACAGATATCACACAATCATGCTAACATCGGGCCGATAACATCGGTTAGCAATATTATCGGACATCGCTAAATATAAATATATATAAATACGCTGTTTAATGTAGTATTTGGAGAATATTTTAGGCGAGTCTATACATTTACTACTTATTTTTTTCTGAAGTGTTTTTGTCTTTTTATCAACGTTTAAGTCAGACTTTAAACTTTAGAAAACTCAGAGTCTCGTCCTTAACAGCCAATCATCTCCAGCCTCACATTAATGAGAATTAATTCAAATGTGGTTTTTAGCCCCAACTCTGTCACAGGTGTGTGTGTGTGTGTGTGTGTGTGTGTGTGTGTGCGTCAACATTGTATCTCAGCTGCAGAGACTGAACCTATTTGAGGTAACAGTAAATCAGCAGCTCCACAGTGTGACTGCTGCTGCTGCTGCTGCGTTTCCATGGTAACGACATGGATGCTGTCACCAGGGCAATCATTACCACGGATAAAGACAGAAAAACACAGGCCTTGTGTCCGTTTAGCACGTGTGACGTAAGCCCTGTCCTGTCGTCCCCGTCACCAGAGGGCGGATCGGAACATCAAGACGCACACAGGTTAGCGTGTGTGATGTCATCAGGGTCAACATGCTGCTGTTTGTTAAAAGCAGCTCTTGGTTGTCGAGCGAGCGAGCGGAGAAAATGGCAGATTTGTGTCTGTGAAGTAGCACAGAAGGTGCTTTACCTTGAGTAAAAGTTAGCCAAAAAAAAAAAACAACTAACTAAATACTCCCATATAAGCTGAACAACAGCTAAAACATTTAGTTAGCTACATTAGCGTGACACAAATATAGTTTGGCTACAACAAGTTTGATAAAAGCAAAGAAATGATCACAATTTCAACGATACACCACAGCTCAGAAAAGCTAAAGTGTTAGCTGAAACATTTTATCAAGTTAGCCCAGAAAATGCTACAATTTAGCCAAATAGAAACTAAGAGATAACTCAAAGTTAGCCCATACATGGCTAAATTAAGGTGATTGATAAGAAATAGAGTAACATTAGTACAAAAACGGTAAAAAATAGAAAAAAGATCAAGCTAATCGTTAGCAAAACAACACGGAAACAACAGTCGACTAAACTGCTGTGGCAGCATTTCCTCCTAAAATATAAATCAGCGGAACAAAAAAAAAAAAAAGTCTGTCAATTTTGTTTGATTTATTATAATCAATTCAAAATACACTAATGATTACTA